AGTTTTCAGTCAATTATAGTGAATTTTCTGAGAAATATGAAGGTCAGTGGTAAATTTTACTAATGGGATTTTTTTCAGCGATTCAAAATACTACGAAAATGATGTTATGTTTGGATATAATTTAGGAAAAAATTAATTTTGTTTTGACCCATGTTGGGACCAGTTTCACCCAAAAATTTCACTTTTCTCCGAAATTTGTCGGGAAGTCATTAATGTTAACTACAGGATCGTATTCAGCACATCGAATTACTTCGGAAACGATATGTGAATGTGACTCTCTTGGGTTTGATTTTTTTTGTGTGATTGTGTAATCAGTCATATGGTTAAAAAAAATGTATGGTGCTACTTTCAGAGCCAGAGTGAACTAGGTTTTAATGTGAGATTGTTTATTTTCTTCCTCCTCCTTCCTGATCTTTCGAGTGATGCAATATTCTACTCATATACTTTGCAACCATCATCAGCAGATCTGACTCAGACCGCTATAAGTAGGAAATAATTGATTTTCGGACCCAAGTACTGTAGATGCTTTTGGTCAGTAACACAAAAACCAACTTATCACAATTTCAGCCTTAAAGGCCTTGCGGGGTCTTTTAACAGCGAAAAACATACCCACGCAGGATCAGTAAATGAACCAAAATATTGCGCAAATTAACCAAAGCAAACATATGACATGTTTATATAATTAATTGTAAACAGAAAAAAGAGAGGAATCCATAAAATGACAAATATCAAGACTTTCCATTAAAGAAAATAACAAAATATTGATTTAAGCTTCCGAAATACAACATTCGATTGTTTGTTTATGTATACTTATTTCTTTGAGAAAATTTTCTAAAATTTTGGTCTGTATTTTTCCTATACTTATAGAAAGGCAACAAAAGACGATAAGGCGGCGGTTGAATATTATGTGAATAATATCTCAAATGAATTAAAAGAAATTCATTAAAATAAAATAGAGGCTAAGCAATAACTTTTATATTACAGCAATGTTATGAATGAATCTCTTATTGATTTGATTTTTACACGCAAAATATTGATTAAATACCTATGTAAATTACAAGAAATCCAATTAACGTACAAATTTCGACTAGTAGCAATTGTACTCTCTCATTAGTCTCAAATCAGCCAAGCCTGTATATACTACGAGAGTGAATTTGGTGTGATTAAGAAATATTAAGACAAGCATTATACTTGTTTAATAATTTATCGCCTTCGCATAATAGTAAAACACCCAAAAGTGCATTATCTCACGGGACGACGACATGAATTATAATGTTATCCACGAGCAGAGCACCCACGCCACAGCCCCGCCCACACGCCCACACTTTCATTCATGTAGCCCGGGCAAGGCACACTATATCTTCTACTGTCCTGGACGCCACGCCACAATCCTGCTGCCTGTGATCCTGCAGAGGCTGAGACACCCACGCGAGCGCACCGGTGATGTTCAAATATCGCTTTTATTTACAACGCCAAGAGTTCTGATATGCCTGTAGGTAGGCTTCCTACACGCTGTTATCATATCAAGTGGCATTAATTAATTAAAAACACTACAATACTTACTAAAAGCTAAATAATTTACCATACCTGGTATGAAATGAATTAAAAAAATAATACCAGAAAATTAAGAAATTCAGCATTTACTAAAAACGCAGAAATATGTATCTATACTTATGTCAAGAGGTTTGCATGTGATGATTCTATACTTACTGTAATTTTGAGTCTAATCACTTTTCTTCTCGTCATTTACTTCTCAGAAGACCTCAAACTGATAAAGCGAATCAAAATATCTATTTTGATTCGCTTTCATTTTTAAATAGGTACATTTGACTTGAACGTAAATTTATATCGTGGAAACTAAGACATAACAGTAAAAATAATCATTAAATCGAGTCAAAATATTTACTGTGATATCACTTTCTATGCTATATACTTTTTCTTTTCGTTAATTCATTTACAATACAATATTGTCTGTAGTTATTTATCTATTAGTTTTTTTTTTGTTTGAATATTTTGTCACCTGTGAAAAAAAATTGATGAAACAAACCTTTGCTCTAAATAGATCAAACAAGAGTTGTATTTATGAAACTATTTTTATCTAACTTAAAATATCACACTAAAAAAACTCTAGTAAAAAATAGGAAATATCTATCATTACATCAAAGCATTTACTTTTTGGAAAGGGTTTGCTTAATCAATCTTGAATTGTCTTTTCACATAGGAAAATGTTCAAAAAAACAGTAAGTAGGTAAGATCTTTAGTTATTATATTTCGGAGTAAAGTTGAAACTTACCTTTGTCAGCTTATCTACCACGATTCTCCAAGTCTGTTGCAGGAGGTACTTGTCCGATTTTAAGTATTTTTTTAAGGTAATTTGGTTTAGGTATTATTATCGAACAAACTGACTATGCTTCTTTTCTTCTTTTTTTTTAAGTTTAAATTTGATGGATATCTCTAACGATGTATGTAAGTACTAGATAGAAAAACTCAAAAGTAAATTTTGTTTTTTTAATATAATTTTATACTCACTTTTAACAGTAGTTTAACTGATTTCTATAAAACATGTTTTTTTATAATAATAATATACAATAAATTTTCATTTAAATTATTGTTATTAACATTATTTTCGTGTTTCTAACATTGTGAGACTCGGTGCCAATCAATAATGTTACGAGTTTTTAAATATTATTTTAATGTTTTTACTCATTTTCGATACAGTATTTACAGAGTATTGAAATGTACAATTAACATGAAATCCACAAAGATTTAGTTAAAAATATTTTGGAGTGACATTATGAACATTATGTATTTCCCAATTTCTCGCTTACAATTGTTTTAAGAATTTGTCATGTTATGACTTACAATATATGTATTATTATTAAATAATGTAAAAAAGTGTATTTTTTTAATACAATTTTTCATACAAATTTCCAATAGGATGTGTTTCATAATGAATTTGTTTACTCTATAAAATCAAATCAAAAAGTGTTGATTGTAATTTAGCGCTTTATTGTTAAAATTGAAACATACTAAATATATTTTTGTACCTTTATATTTTTCGACTTATAAATTTATATGTATATATAAATTACAGTTCGTTTTATAAATTGAAATTAAGAACATTATAAAATTGAATAATTCATTTCCTACTTTTTTATCACCGATTAATATATAAATTTATATAGGTGTATACAAAACGATAAATAAATAGATAATCTAGTAACATTGAATTTACTAATGAAAACAATGGAATATCTGGAAACAATGGGGGAAATGATTAAATATGTAATAATTCTGATTGAAAAAATTGCAGATGCAAAAAGAACATGTGTCTAGTGAGGGCTGGGGCCATGCTGCCAGCCACCTGTCCTAGCAGACCAGCATTCCCGAGTCTAATAACGATGAAATGATGTCGTATTGCATAATATCAGAGATTGAGTGATAGGGTCGCCCCTCCTGGTGGAACGCGCCGTGAAAATAGGGCAGTGTGTCGTAACAGGAGCAGAGCGCCTCTCCTCTCCCGCTGGAGTCAACGACCTCGGTCGCCGCCCCCCTCGCCCCGTGCCCGATCCTAATTTCGCAGTGCAGTTTCGGTGCATTTTCCAGTGTTTGTTGTCCGGTGGCGTCCCGGCACGTGGCGAGCGGGCCGGGCGGCCCGGCCCGACCCGGATGAGAGGCACGAAGGTGGCAGTAGTTATGTGTAGTAGTACGACAGCGTCAGGGGCGTAGTAGTACAACTTATAGGGCACTCGGTGTCTTCGCCCTCGCGGAAATGGGTCACTCGGACGGCCGGGCGACGGCCCCGCCCCGTCAGCTGATGAAAACAACACTTACACGAACACTTCATTTATACCCAATGTTTAAAACTGAATACTGGCAGTGGTTGTAGAGTTTAGAACATACGTGACGGGATGGAACATGCACCCATTTTTATGTTCTTCACCCCATTTGAAATCTCCTCCTCATCCTCTTTCTAAACTAAGTTCCGTTCTGCGGCACATCCTCGTCTCACTATGTCTCGCCCTCCGGTGCCGCTCTACAGTCGATTTAGGAAATGCTGCTCTGTACCTGAACAAATTCACAAAGCGGTGCAGGGAGTTTCTTAAAGCGATCGTAGACAAATGTCGCACCCGGTTATTTAATTAAATTGTATATAAATTATCTAATATAGACCTACAGTTCTTTCCATTCTCATGAAAAATTAGCTATAACCAGAATGATTTCATCCGTTCATTAAATATATCTATCATATCACAACATATCGGTCAAGAGAAATATATCAAACAAATTTAATTGAGCAATGTACAATCGTAACTCAATTGTAAATATTTTAATACCCTAAACAACTTTTTTTTATAAATATTTCGTGTCTATGAACTTGCTAGGAATGTCTTAAAAATAATTAATCTTATATCGGCTAAGTACTCGAGTACAATCCACATAATAATTATAAAAAGTACAAAGCAATTATAAACTAGTTGCCCCTCGTTCAGGGGGTAGATATTTGAAAATGTCCTGCGGCGACGAAGAGCGCGTTTTTATACAGTCGTCGTCGGGTATGAGATATCCCGCGCTGTTGCTGTTCGCCGGCGAAACCCGCACACAACAAACAACCATGAAGCGTTTAGTTACTTTTATTTATTATTATTTATAAATGATTTACATGATTTTTAACAGGATCAATACCTATACAAAACATTGTTTTCTGCCGTTATTTTCACCGACGATTAAAATCGAACGATCGTTGCGATTGTCTGTCTGTCCATTAGCTAGTTTAGTTATGAAGTTGATAAAAATTTTTTTATGGACAACACGGTCACGGTTTCGAACGTGGAAGTCGAGAAATCGCCCTGCACCTCCCCCGCAGCGCGCGATTCACCTTTTTAGACAGTCAGTACAGATACGAAGATTTCACATCCGATATGTGATATTGCACCTGCTTATTTTATTACTAGTCTGCTTTGTGCTTTTTGACGAGTGGCAGTCGGTAGCTTGTCGATTCACAGCCGATCTTCTTCTTCCTCCTCTTCTTCCGCCTCCTCCACGATACCTTCGTTCTCCTCCTTGTAGCCGGGATGCTCGGAGATGGCATAGTAGTTTCCGTTATAAATAACTCCCAGCTCACGTAGAACGTCTCCTCTGATCGTTGCTTTGATGGTCCAGTTGTAGCAGTCGTCGCTTTCGCTCTCTCGGTCTAGCCGCTCCACGTCCAAAATCTTGGAGCTGAGTCTCTCCAAGATGATGCCTATATCTTTGATGCTTAAATGACGCTTCTGATCTACGCTTAATTGATCGATCAGCAGCAGGAACTTCTCAGAGGTGACGGCCTCGTCCTCCATCACGGTATTCTCCGTTTCGCTTTCGGAGCTTTCGTGTTCGGACTGCCCGCCTCGGCCGCCACCTTCAATATCTAAAAAACGTACATGTCTGGATGAGGGAGGTTGAGGAGAAGTTTGCTGCGTGTCTTGGATGGGCGACGTCGCCACACTCTTGTGCACGGCAATCTTCCTACCCTCTTCGTGCAGAGCGCAGCAGTGGAAGTCGCACTCGATGGCTCCGTTGCTCTGCGGGCTGCCCGCACGCGGCATGTGGGCATGATGGGCGCATTCGGGTGTATGAATGTGAATGGTAGCACTCTCCAAGGAACTGCTGCCCTGCTTGGACAGTCGGTGAACAGGTTTCACGTCGTCATGATTTATCACAGTGATCTGGGGGCTGGAGTATCGCGGTTGGGGCTGAGCTGGAGCAGGAACGTACACGTCGTTAATTATCGTTTCCTTCTTGCCCCCGGGTCCGGTCTGAATCACGAGAGACGGTCGTTTGCTGGGCGAAAACTTGCCCGGGGCGGGTGATGGCGTTTCGGATGAAGCCCTGGAAGGACCCGAACGCTGGTCCCAGTGCAAGACGACGGTAACACGTCCCTTGTTATCCATAATTTTCCATGAGGGTGTCTCATCGTGCAGCTCCAGCGCATGAATTGTCTCGCATACGATTTTCGGAATGGCAGAGATTGCTACTAAAAGAAAATAATATAAGAGATATGAATTAGCGGTGAGGACGGGAGTACCTACCTGCTCGAATGACGTCCACACCCGCCGGTAACCATCTCTCTCCTGGTCTGAGCAGCAGAAGAATGGTATTGGCAGGTAGTGTACGAAAGTACTCGGCGTCTTCGACTTGGGTGCCGTCGCTTTCGAGGACGAGCCGCACCGGCTCCCCGACGGATACGCCAAGTTTATCCCTGCCGCGTTGCACCAGCTCCTCGAGACTCCCCACCACCAACCCCTTGCGCACGCTACGCCGCCCGTCCCATAACTTGAAGGGTCTCTTTCCGCGGGATTCCTGTAACACACCCATTATGTCTTAGTCTCAAATATTATCGCCACCGCCTACTCACAAGTCTACACCCGACCGCATCTCGCGGTGACCTGACCTACTCCACACCTACCACCCTGTCTGATGCCTGCACCTAGTTGCCGCTGTAGCCGCTTGACGCGCACCGCGCGCCACGCTGTGTGTAAACACTACCGATCGAGACTTACCGACTAGTAGTCATTTTGACTGTGCCGGTGCTTAAACCCCCGGTCCACAGTTAATCACATATAAGTCTCTCTGTCAATCACAAGTCATAAATATACGATTATTTCTATCATAATTATTAACTTCCCACTCATTATCAACCTATTATTTAATTAGTTTCCGTCTATACGAGCAATTTAATAAAATAATTTTTTGGTTTCTGAATATAACAGTGTTTGTAATAAATTTGTAACGACTTGTTTACATCTAGGGGTGCTTAATACCGCGCTATCAATTTAAATTAAGGTTATGATTTCAGGCCATTTTTCGACATAGATGGCGAGCAGTGCTGTCGGTAATTGATTGTCAATGTAGGTTGAAATCGGCACTGACAGAACAGACAGGGCAGCTTAACCGGAGTACGACAACACATTAACACAAAAGCTCAACACAGATGTAGCGACATAAAAAAAGTACCACCGTTCCATGCAAATTAGAAACGAATTTCCGTATACCTCTCTTGCCATCACGGCATTTCTTATAGGCGGCTGTCGTCCCGCCGCTGGCTCACACCTCCTTCCGTGGCACAAACACAACCACTAGACCACTGCACCGCATATCCCTTGGCCGGCCCGCCGCTTTTTCTCCATTCTGAGCCAAATTACTATCGGACTATCTGTGACCCTTACAAGCAGCAACCCTGCGAACTGCCCCGACAAACGCGCCCCCTAACGCCCGATCGATTACGTTGAAGGCGGCGGCCGTCGCGGCGCACCTTCAAGCGCGTTGTGGGTCGTTCTTCAGATCGAGCGCCTGCGTCCACCGCCACGTATCGCCACACGAAACTTTTAATATTTTGGAACATGTGGGTGTTCTTCACTTAACCGAAAGTTATGCTCTGTTGCGGAATCTATTTTTTTTTAAACTTTTATCTGTAAATATGGAACAGGTCTCATAATTTACAAATATAAATACTGATAAAAACATTTTTAAATGTTCAATAAGAACAAATTATAATAATTTTTATATTATATATCCATCAGTGTCGCGATATCCTCTTTATTTTTGTAGGTATTGCGTTTCCTTTAGTTATCCACCTATTATTATTAGAGCGTAACTGAAATACTTGGATAAAATTTTATGACGGATTTTATGCTAAAAATTAACAAAAAAAATATAAACATTTGCCCCAAAATACTTCATTTTCTAAATTAAAAACAATTAATTAAAAAAGTTAAGAGATTTCGTTCAAATTTCAGCTTTTCAGGTATGCAATTTTAACCTTTGATTATCCACAAACATGTCACATCTACATACATGAATTATTTCACTAGTGGACTTGGTAATTTTTGCTCGTAATTTTTTTTTCACAGACTGACTATTATGATGGAACATGTGTTCTTATTTCATTTCACTGGAATGTACCATTTTCCAAAATGTTATACCTACAATTTATAATCACATATTGATAAAAGTGTCATGACATCAAGTTATTTTTGAAATATGGATATTAATGATTCAAGTAGTAACATTATGATTGAAGTAAAATATTTACATCGCACCCTTTCATTATTTTGATCACTTTATCACTTTGTATTGTGAACACGAAACGTTTGCGTTCGCAAATTTCTAGAAACGTTGGTTACCTGTAAAACTTATCTACTTTATACTTTTACCTTATTTTATTGTATTATTATTTTTATATTTTTAACTTATTAGACATTTAAAAAATATATTTTTAAAGATATAAATAATGTTGTGACTTCTTCAGATCATATTACTTCGATGTTAATACAATATTACGCCCGATAAAATTATAAGAAATTCATAGTTAATAGAATAAACTCTAATTTGCCATATTGTTCTTAAATCAAAAACAATTTAATCAATATGACTATTCACTTACTTACTCATTTATGATTGCTTTTCCAATGTCCTTATACAGGGTGTTCTGAAATAAGAGCGTTCGTTGAAAAAGATGATAGAGGGTACAAAAATGAGCATTATTAAGCAACAGATTACGTCTTAAATTGAAAAAAAATCATATGAAGGTTTCCCTGATACCAGCTGTACCTTCGATATAGAAGATATCGATGTTGCTGCGCGTCGCAGTGCGCTGATGGATGGCGGTTTTGGCGGTTTAAATTTTGTGTAAAAAATGCTTAAATTTATTAAAATAGCGTTTAAAAGTAACACAAAAATTAAACGAATAAACAAATTATTTACCAATAGACGATATGCTCCACAAAAAATTGTTTAAAGTTGTTTCCATGTGTGTAAAGGGACGTCTTCCAACAAATCCGGTAAGGCGTTTGTTAAAAACTCTGTACCACCATTTAAACTTGCGGATAGCACGGACAATCGGACCGAGTAATCTGTCACCAAAAACATCACATCTCACATTCAGTGAAAACCGTAGCTGGAATTGAAATCTTTGTACAACGTAAGGATTTGCCGTCTCTAGTAAAACAACATTCATCCATGAAAAGCACCTTTTGCTTGTAAAATCCGGATCTTGTGCTATTTGATGTCGAAACCACTGAGAAAATTCCACATGGGGCTGAAAATAATTATTATTTAATGCCTGAACCCCATGATAGGGGTGTAATAATTGTTCCTGTAGTACACACCACACGGTACTATTAAAAACACAAACTTCTCGGCAATGTACTGCGCCTCGAATCTTCCTCAACGAGATTTAGGTGTGATGTTTTCTTCATTGTCGAAAACATGTTGCGGCCTTTCTTGTCCACGACTTTCATATGTCAGGTAGACATTCCCGGTATCCGTTAACCTTCGAACTGCCTTTTGCACTGTTCTACTGTTAAGTTGTCGTCTGTTACGGTAAAACGAACCGCATAGAAACGACAAGTCTCATTTAAATTGTACTGACATTCTCCGTACATTAACACCATATCTGTTAGTTCTTGATCAGAAAACATTTTATACGCCGGCTAAGTAATACTGCAACATACAAGTAAAGAACACAAGACATACCGACCTACCATAAGATTTGCTTGATTGTGGAAGTCACGTGGAATATCAGCCAATTAGAGAAGCGCTTCACGCATGTAGCGAGTCCGAAGTATTCTGGCCGTGCACATGCACAAGATGCACAGGGTTGATTAGTTGATTAATAAAAGTTGCTCAGTTTCGTGCCCTCTTCACCCATTTAAAGGAACACACTTATTTCAGAAACACCCTGTATACATATATTAATTTAAATACAAATCATTCTATAAAAAATTAAATTTATGTAGATACTGCCAAAATTGCGCTTTTTTCCTCTCGTCAGCACATAATTCTCTGTTATAAATTTTAATTTTTATAGAGAATAGAGCACCACAATTCACTCTTCTATTTCTTTTTTTATAGGATGTATATAAGTAAATGGGCCATATTTTAAGTGTAGTCGTGAAAATGAAAATAAAAAAAAAATAGGTCAAATTATCTTACAATTAGTAGGTACAATTTTGTTTTCTTACCTATTACATTAGTTAAAGGGAAGTTGTGAGTGTTTCCAAATATGAATATTTTTTACGCAAAACATAGGGATCGTTAAGAACATTAAACAGTTTTGTATTTTGTGACATGTCTTTTGTTGGTCGCAATTTCGTTTTCTCGAAATTACAGATGGTTTTTGAAACATTACTTCATTTTCCTTAAAAAATGTAAATTATTGTATATGTTGCTATTATGCATCATTCTAGAGAAAAATACCCATAATTCCATTAAACTTTAATTTTTGTTACTAAATTTGCTATCTATTTTTTTAAGTTTTAGACTAACCTACTTCAATTAAAAGGTCAGTGTCTACTGAAATCTCAGAAAATGGCCACATTATTCTAATTTACCTTTCTCACATTTCAACGGTAATAATCTTACAAGATAAATAATGCGTCAGTCAAATTTTGTGTGGCTCTTGTTATTTACATCTTGACCTAATGAAATCAGAAGATATCATGTGTTATTATTATATATTGCCATCTTTCTTTAATTATCTTGTTATTTTTTATGTATTTAACTTATACATATAAATATGTATATACGAGGGTGGTCTGAAAAGTTTCTGACCTCAACATGAAGATGGCAGCACTCGTAAATAAAAGCTAGTGAATTTCGTTGTCCATCTGTTGACAGTTACTCACCAAAGTTTCAGCCATTTTGGACGCGCAGTTGTTATGTAACAGTCGTTTGAGTGAGTTGATGTGAGTGTTTTTATGAAAATGGACAGAATCGAGTATCGAGCTGTCATTAAATATTTGTTTTTGAAAGCAATACGCCTACGCAAATCAAAGATGAGTTGGATTCTGTGTATGGGGACTCTGCACCATCATTTACCATAGTGAAATTTTGGGCAGCTGAATTTAAACATGGCCGTAAGAGCTTGGGAGACGATAAACGTTCAGGACGTCCAAAAACTGCAACTACCGACGAAAACATCCCAAAAGTTCACCAAATGGTGCTAGACGACCGCCGAATTAAAGTGAGAGAGATAGCAGAGGTTATGAACATGTCAAAAGAACGTGTTTGTCACATATTAAATCAACATTTAAACACAAGAAAGCTGTCCGCGCGTTGGGTGCCGCGTTTGCTCACGTTAGACAAAAACATGTTCGAATGAACATTTCCAACGCTCTGTTGGCGCAGTTTAGGCGCAATAAATCCGAGTTTTGGCGCCGATTAATTACTGTAGATGAAACTTGGATACACCATTATACGCCCGAAACAAAAGTACAGTCCAAACAGTGGACTGCAAAGGGGGAACCGGCTCCAAAATAAGCAAAAACTGTTTTTTCGGTTGGGAAAGTGATGGCGACTGTTTTTTGGAATAGTCATGGAGTTATTTTAATCGATTATCTTCAAAAAGGAAAAACCATTACAGGAGCATACTACGCATCATTACTTGACAAGCTGAAGGCAGAACTTGAGGAAAAACGGTCACATTTGCATAAATAGAAAATCCTGTTTCATCAAGACAACTCACCGTCTCACACCTCAGCGGTTGCCATGGCGAAAATCCATGAATTACGGTTTAAACTGCTTGACCATCCGCCTTACTCACCAGATCTAGCCCCAAGCGACTTCTTTTTGTTCCCTCATCTAAAAATTGCGCTCGGAGGACAGAGATTTTCGTCAAATGAAGAGGCAATCACCTTCGTGAACAATTATTTTGCAGAGAAAAACGCCGAGTACTATTTGGACGGGTTACAAAGATGGAAGCATCGCTGGGAGAAGTGTATAGAGTTACAAGGAGACTATGATGAAAAATAAAACAAAAAATCTGAAAAAATGTCTTGTATCTTTGTTTGATCGGAAACTTTTCAGACCACCCTCGTACATTTGGTTTTAATAAATAAATTAAACCAAATCGAAAATAGGGGACTCCAAATAATTTAATCTTTTGGTGGCAAGTGGCAAAAAACTTCTGCTAGTTTTCTATAGGAAATTATAACCAATCAGTGATGCATTATCCATTGTGCAATGTAGACATTTATGTGAGATCCCCGCCAGTAAAAAAAAAGTCAGTAGAAAAAGATTTACTTGTAATCCCTTTGGAGGGCATTTTCCGAGATACGTAAAGAAGATCAACTTCAAAAATATTTGTAATTTTGTTTGTCATAATTTACTGTGAAAACCATTTTTTTGT